GAAAGAATATATTATTTGTGGTCTTTGCTCGGTTGAGAAGGAAAAAATAACTCTCAAACAAGTAAAGTCTAGTGGGGAATTAATTGTCTATTCGGAAATTGCTGACGCCGAGAAAATTGTCGCTAAATTAGGATTAGATTTTCAATTAATTAATAAAAAAGAAGAAGACAAGGTTATTTTACCCAAGCCACCTTTAACTACTTCGCTGCTGCTTTTTGAAGCCAAATCTCAACTCGGCTTTGCTATTGCCCAAACCACTCAATTAGCCCAAAAACTATACGAGGGAATTAATTTGGTTAGTCTTGGGAAACAAGTGGGATTAATTACTTATCCCCGCACGGATTCAACCCGAATTAATCAGGGATTTACCCAGCAATCTTACCATTTCATTAGTCAAAAATGAGGTAAAGATTATTGCAATTTTGCCCCCGCTTGGCTAAAAAAAGAAAAAAAAATAAACGTTCAGGACGCTCACGAGGCTATTCATCCAACTTACCTTGACTATCACCCGGATAATGAGGAAATTAAAACCTCCCTGACCGTGGAAGAACACCAATTATACCAGTTAATTTTTCGGCATACCCTAACTAACTTTATGGCTCCGGCTCGGATTAAAAAGATTACTTACCAGTTTACCAATAATGATTATTATTTTTCTACTAACGAAAGAGTTAACAAGTTTTTCGGCTTTTTGGCTGTGGGCCCGGAAGTTTATTTGGCTAGTTATAGAGTTAAAAGGAGAGCCAAATTAGGTGAAATTTCGCATTTGGCTGCTCAAAAAATTGAAATCCAAGAATACCTGGAAAATAAACCTGTCCGTTATAACGAAGGAAGTCTGGTCCAAGAACTAGAAAGACTAGGCATTGGCCGTCCTTCGACTTATAATACCTTTGGACGGATAATTCGGGAACGTAAATACGCCGAATTGAATGTCAAAGGTCAGTTTGTTCCTACGGATTTAGGTTTTTTTGTTAACGAGTGATTACAACATAATTTTTCGGAACTAATTAACGAGAGTTATACTGCCTCCTTAGAAGGAGAGTTAGACCGTATTAGCCGTGGCGAAAACAACTACTACCATTTCATTAAAAATTTTTGGGAAACTTTTATCCAGCATTTTCGGAAAGTAACTTCCTTGCATGGTTAATTGAATTACTTTATTTTGCCATCGTAATTTCTTGTCGAACAATTACCACAAATTAGCTAAGAGAAAGAATATAAATTTGAATGACTAATAATGCCAAATTAAAATTAGTTAAGATAGGTCGGTTTAATTCTTTTGCCCTGGGTTTAGGAAAGTTCAAATAAAGACTCCAACATTTCATTTTCGCCCTTTGTTAAAGTCATTAAAATAAAATTAAAAGTAATTTTAGCCATGACAAAAGGAGCAAATGTAATTAATTTTGCCGTTAACGAATTGGTTAACGATGCCGAATTTAGTTTTGCTATCGAAGTATTTAAAGAAGATAACGGAAGAAATTACAATTTTCTTTCCGCCTATGATTTTAAACTTTACCAAGAACCAAATTACGAAGCAAGAATATTAGCAGCATTAAAAGACAAAACCGAAAAATTAACT